ATCACTGAACTAGTATACATATTTGTTTAGGGGCCAGCTGAAGGACGCCTCATGGTGCGGGAGTTTCTCGCTGCATGAAGACCCATTGGTGGCCTTCGGCTGTTGTCTGCTCTATGGTCGTGTTGTTGTCTCTTTTACACATTCCCCATTTCCATTCTCAATTTTATATGTTAAGTAATCATATTTATAACTGCTGATGCAAGCGTTAGAAAGACACAGCATATTTCGAACCATATTTGTTTGAATCATTCGTTGAATACAGACAAACTAAAGCATTGTTTTTCGTTTATTGCATCAAACATGTCAAAATTATTACCAACGTATTTGAATTAATCTGTGTTAGTTGCTATATTTAACAAATCCGTTGTAGCGATATAAATTGATATTACTGCTAAGATGTGATGATATTCCAATTCTCTTATTTAAAAAAAATGCAACATTAAGATAAGAATCATACTGCCGCACTCTATCAACTTTGCACTATAGAAATGAGAGGTTCCTAGGTGTTCAAGTAATATTGTTCGATACTAAATATACAATCAATAAATACGTTGGTCATCTCAACGAGATTGATTTTTGTCACTTGAGCCGGTAAGGCGAAAGTGAGAAAAGCAATCGAGTTGAGGTGACCTTTGATAATCTGTTTATCGCTTTTTTGCCTATGACGACGTTGTTGTTTACATAGACAACGTCAGCTCTTAGTTTCTAGCGATAATTTATTATATCACTCTACTGTGCTGAGAAAGGAAATTATCAGTCAGTGCGATCAAAGGAAAATCTCGTAAAATAGCGATAAATATATTTACATATATTTTGTCATAATGAATGTCTTTTCAATATGTACGGGTAGTCAACCTGTTAATATCTACTCTTGGTGTTGTCTGTTCTTAGGAGATACTAATTTAGGAAGGGGATACATATCGTTGAGACTTGCTGCTCTTATATTTGCACTTTAAACAAGAGGATATAGGAATTGATCGCTAAAAAATATGAAAATGATGCGCTGTTATGTATAAATGTTGACAAAACTTCATATGTATTGTTGTTCATTACCGAATCATCACGTTGATGTCAACACTTTGCTAGCCGACATCTCACTGCAAATATTATACAGCCTTTGATACCAGTGTTAGCTAAACTTACTTAAATAATTAGTAATAAATAGTGATAGTTTCCACATTCAATTTGTTATTTATAAGAATGTATTGCATGGTTGATGACATTATCATCTTTACTAACTAGCCAAGGATTATGATACGGTCTTCTCCTATTCACCCATGACAGATTAAGACAGCAGGTGCTTGTGCAGCGTTATGTCATCAAGATATAAATCACACCCACTCCGACTACATCATTCTTGACCAATGACAGTACCTAATTGGGAGGAGTACAAATGTTTGTGTATAGGATGCACAAATTTCGTAAAGCAGAAGCCGAAAATATACGTTATCATTTCAAGATTTACAAGAGTGTCTTGAACAACAAACTTCAATAAGTTGATTGAACGATTAAAAAGGTCACTAAATATCGTCCTGTGTTTGTAGGGGTAAAAACTTATGGATATTTAATTCCTTTTCGACATTACATCACCTTAAAGGCCATTTTTGATTGAAAGTAGCCATGGACAACTACAACCAATGGAAATAATTACCTCGTGAATCCGAAATTCTGACTTAATCTGGTAAGGGTGAAGAGAAGACAACCGCATCGTAACCCATGGCTAGCGTACGTGTGACATATTTGTTATCTAAAGCACATTGCAAACTTATAGTAGGCCTGATCATTAATTATAAATGCTTCAATACACTGGTCTTATGTCAATGTAAAAACGTTTTAGCAAGAATACTACATATGTTCAAAATTTTTAAATAATATGTTTATAATTGTTTATTGTAGATTCTGTTTATAATACAGGATTTACCACATGCAATCATGACTTTCAGATGTGTTGTACATGTATGCACACTGGATTTGATACTGAAATGGTATATAAATATATTCTTTTCCATTCCATTTACTAAGGAAAATTTATAAACAAGAAAGGAAGAACCGTTTAATATGAAAGTTAAAATGAGAAATTATAAAATCAAGAGTTAAGAATTAAAGATCACTATATATGTTGAATCCAGTACAAAAGACTTGGCTAAAAACCTATTTGATATATAAAAATAAGGAGATGTGGTAAGATTGGTAATGAGACAACTATCAACCAGAATCGAAATGATGTGGATGTGACTAACGATAAGTTCCTACTGGCCTTCAACACTGACTATATAGTTAGCATTTAAAAGGCCGACATAACTAAATGTGAAACATATCAAACGAGAAAATCGAAATATGACAGAGAGCAACCGTCCACAACCACTATATTACAGGCTCCTAATGTCCGACATGCACATGCAGAATGTTGCGTGGTTTAACATATTTGTAAATGAGTATCCCTCTTTATCTGCTAATACAATGATGTAATTGCACAATATGTAAAAAAAATTTAAATGGCTTGACTCGTCGCATAGGCACGAAGCACCCCCCCCCGCCCACCGCCCCCCCCCCCCCCCACACCCCCCCCACCCCCCCCCCTCCCCAAAAAAAAAAATACCTACCATAAATTCGTAATACGAAGAATGCCGATATACAAGTTTTCGAGATAACTGGAAGCTGTTACAAAGCTAATGTCAACTAATAAATAAATCATGTTCCTGTAGACTACAGTTTCAGTACGGATTCAACAGATTAAGTAAAAAGGCGTCATAAACAGTTTTTGACAAGCAGTGTGGTCTTTGCTATCTCAAGGTATAGATATAATATCGACAGTGTGTAGATAAATTCATCATACATACCAGGATTTAAATTTTGTACGCCAGATGCACGTTCGGTCTACAAAAGACTCATCAGCGACGCTTGAATTAAAAACTGAAAAAGGCCAATAAAGTACGAAGATGAAGAGCATTGGGGACAGATTAATGATCATCAAAGGTGTAAGTTGGGTCATGAACATGTCATTTGAAGAAAAGAGTTATAAGAAAATATGCTACAAATGTACTATGAATTATTCTTATTAAATGAAAAAGCAAACCCAATAACCATTTTAAAAAAACTTTGTAGAGAATTATGAGGAAATAAAATTAACACTCCATCATTGCATACCATTAATTGGAAGTCTGACTTTCATCGATCAAAACTATTTTTCATGAGAATCAAAAGGCTAAAAGTCGTGCAGTTTATGATTTTTTAAAGAATGAATGGATAAATTCTAGTCTGAAGTTGTATTTTTAGTTTATAGTGCGTTTGCTGATATTCGATGTATTCTCTAGATTATATGACCGTATCCATGTTGTCAAACCTACCTGGGGATTTTTCCAAGCCTTGATTGAACAACAGTTGTTATATTTCGCTGGACACTTCAAATTCGTGGATAAAGCCATCAACGAAAATCACGCAAATTGGTACCCCACGAATAAAAGTTCTTTCACAATTTATTGAATGTAACATGTATAAAGCTGAAAGTGCAATATCATATATATTGGTCTGAGTTTATAGAGTAACTTCACCATGTTCACTTGTACATTGAATAAACATGCATCTCAACTAAATAAAGCACTCCCATTTCTAAAATTTGTAAAATACCAAAAATAAAATTCTAGAAATTATTTTTCTATGCTTCTGTTGGTGAATGATCATGAATTTGGGAATTATGTATTATCTTCCAAATCTACAATGCATGATATACTAAGAATTACTCAAAGATGAAGTTCAAATAATGCAAACAATGTAAACATGGTAAGCATGGTAAGCACAGTATTAATGGAATATTTTCAGAACATTTTTTAGATGGGATATTCCTTTCGTATAAAGACCATTATGGGTATATATTAACGTCCAAACAAAACAGTATCTATAAAAAAAAAGTAATGTGTCGTAACGATATCCCTGAAATATAAATACCTCGTTAGAATGGACCAAAGGATCATTCAAATAATAAAATTAACAAAAGCATTAATAGAGAACGAAATCTCGTTTCTTCTGTTGCAAACTTATGTGTTGAGTATCCCGTGTCAAAATGAAATATACACATCTAGAAAATTAAAGTATTGCTGTTTATTCAATATTGTCTCTAGTAATTTCCCTAGTAGGGTAATTTTAAGAACACATGTAAACTTACAATGGTTTACAGTAGTGCGTAGTTAGTGGATGAAAGGACCACCACATTTCACAACAAGTCTCACAGACAGAAATTACCATTTGGTGAACACAATAAGGGCAGTGTCTGTGACAGTGACAAGACGAACAGACCCCATGAAAATAGCCTTAGTATCAGTCGAAAACAGTAAATAAGTAATAAATATCATCAAATAGGCATAACCCAAAATGATAGGTGTATAACATGATTTGTTATTTGACATATTTGTTACCCTTGATAATATCCGTTTTCATTCTTCTAACTAAATATTTTGAGGTCCGTCAGGAAGTTTTAAAATGTAATTATTTTGAAATATTTGCATTAGCTTAATATATTCTTCCACGTTAAATGAGTCCAGCACAATATGTTAATTAAAGTGAAATCCAAAATGTATTACATTGTACTCTTATCACCCACTCATATATTTTGTCACAGTTAAAAACTAATTAATAATTATCAAATGCAAGATTTGAATTGATAACTTCAACAAATATCTTGATTTTTAAAATTGTACGTTTAGGTCAAATTATTATACACACCTGAAGCTTAAAGACCTTTGTTATAAATGTTTCCATGGTTGCTAAATGGAAGGAATATTACGAATATTATTCTGGTTACGTTTTAGCCGCCACAGTATTGATGATAAGATTCCAATTGATTCTCAATGTGTCTTTAACTAAGCAAAAAATACCATTTTGTAATTAGATTTTAAATAGTTAATGCTTTTTGTTATAGCGTTTGCTATATATTTAGTGTATGTTTTGACAAAATGTTATTTCGGATAAATAGTTAAGTTCTAATTAACATTAGACACAATCTGACAATTCATAACCATGTTGATTTCGCAAACAAGAGTTGATTTTTCTATAGTGCTTTTGTGTGTTATATTTTCAATAGGTATCGCACAGCTAAATGTTGTAAAACATTACTTTGTTATAAAAATAGAAAGAAGAATTCGTCCTAACAGTACATCAGTCATGACGCAAATAACCCAGTCTCCAACAGCTTGTGCGTCATTGTGCTCCATACAGGAAACATGTTGCTACGCTAGTTATGATAGGAAAACAAAGCACTGCTATTTGGATGAATCTTGTTGCCCACAAAGTGAGCCTTCAGTAGATGCACTTATGTTGAAAAAAATAACAGGTAAATGTTCTTGTTTTTTACTTTAATTGAAAATAATTATCATCTCTTTTTTAATATGGGGTTGATGAAAGTTCAAGTATAAATATTTAGTTTCCTTAATTAATTTTGTGAAATGAAAGAAAACACTGAAATTCTCAGTATGACAAACAGGTATTGGATTGGATTATTTTGTAAGTTGATAGTGACGGGTACGCGAAGCATATTTAACTATGGTCGTAAAATTATATATTTGCAAGTACAGATTGATGTTGGTTTTTAAATTTTTCTATAATCCTTGTGTTCGCCTTTTAAAAAAAGGAATCAAGAAATAAAATTCAATTTATTAAACCTGTATTTTTATAAACAGTTCAAGCCATTCACAAATGCAATTACTCGATTTTTATTTTTTATTTGTAAGTAAACATTGTATTTGTAATGCTAGTAAAGTAAGCAATAGTAAGTGACAGATGTACCTGTAACCAAGCCGTTTCTTTGAGGATTGCTTTAACTTTTGTTTTCAGATTGTCTTTTAAGGTTTTGTGATGTTGTTATTTCTAATTTCTGTCTATCATGTGTCATGGAAAGCTTTATATTACAAACTTTCACATTCGGTCGTGTTATAAGGGTAAGATAATTTCAATGTTTTGATTATTTATTAATTTATGGAACAAAAGAGTCATTCACTTAAAACCATCTTATATATGAAACCCGTTCACTGATGTCTACTTAATAACAAATCTTAACATAGGAAAGTCGGTAAGTGGTGAACTTTGTTTTCGGAAGCATGTTACTCCCAGGCTGTCGATGGGTTTCATTGCACATGATATAAAGTATTCTGTTTAGTATACTGTAAATTCAGAAATTATTGCGAGGTTTTTATTAATGCGAAAATGCGAGTGGATGAAGGTCGCAATAATAAGAACTCGCATTCTGATATCTGATACTTATATCTGTATGCAGATTTTCCTGAAATCGCAATAATTAATCTCGCATTTTAGTCCATTCTTAAAAAATCGCATTAATAAATGCACGCAATAATTTCTGAATTTACAGTAAAAAGGAGCGTTCTTTGTGTTTGCGTCTTTTTCCTTTCTTCATAACAAACTGCTTTTGTTTTATAAAGTAATGTTTTTATCCTACCTTATCTGAATGCTTAAGTGCTTTTTTTCTCATCGCTATGTGTCCGTAGTCCGTTGTTGTCCGTCGTCGTCAACTTTAACAAAAATATTCTCCTATGAATGAAATTATTGAGCCAATTGTAACTAAACTTTGCCACAATCATCTTTGGGGAGTAAAGTTAAAAAAGAGAGTCCATTGATCCACCTGTCAACCAACATATCCAACATAGCTAAAAATAAACATGGGAGTAAAATACAAGTTTTGTCTATAATCATGAAAACCATTATAGAGACAGGCCAGGAATGTCAGAATGATGAGATCTACCTACTGTGGAATTATGTCAAAACAATCAGACGACTTTTTATAGGGGATATTGTTCTTAAAAGACTTATTGGACCATTTATTTTTTTCATTTTTGACCTTTTACCTTAAAATAATAGATAGAGATACACTTTATATAGATAGAAAATGATAAACAAGACGAGATCTACAAATAAGCCATTTGTCCGAAATCATAAGTCGACTTTTTATTTGAGTTTCTGCCAAATAATTATATAACTATAAAAACGGGTATCATAAATAGATAAATATAGGATTCATAGCGAGTGAGAATGAGATATCGCTGGATATCAACTCGAGTTATTTAATTTCAATATAATAATAAAAAAAAACCTGTGCGAGTTTATCATTACTATCTAAATTAAATAACGAGAGTTGAAATCAACCGATAACCAATTCTCATAAGTTGTTTGACCTATTTCTCTTACGGTAAACATTCGCATTATGTTAAATTAGAAATTAATTGAATCATTGATCTAGTGTTTTGCACTAAAATACCAATATGACGACATATGTCTTGTTCCGGCTTCAAACATTTACATCAGACATTTCAAACTTCTTTGTACGCTTCAAAATGTAATAAAATTTGGCAAAAAAAAACATTTTCAGAAGAAAAGTGTGAGTGTTTTGTTTATTATTTAAGAAATCACATACATGTGCATCTAAATTGCCATTGGTGAAATTCACATCGTTTTGAACTTTGAAAGTCATCAATGGCCTATGTAATAACCAATGGAAATGTCGCAATGTCGTCTCTGGATGCTGGATAAGCCAATCAAATTCATGCATTTTTCGTATCAATTTTTCTTATTACACGAGAATTATCTCTTCATGCGCGAAATAGATAACAGGCCACAACCATGAATTGTTCAAATAAGGCCTTCGAAAATAGTGGAATTAATTACTTTTGGAGTGTCAAGAACTCGTTGGAAGTACTTGATAAATTGCATGCATATATTAGTGATTTTGAATCTGTTCAAAGTTTTGATTTTTCTTCCCTATATACCACATTGCCTCACATTCTCATTAAGAAAAAATTCACACACCTAATTAAATGGGCATTTAAAAAGTCAGAATGTGAATATATATGTTCAAACTCTTTTAGGTCATTTTTTAGTAGCAATAAACAAAAAAACTATGTCAATTGGACATGCTTTGCTACTATATATGCCCTTAAATTTTTACTAGATAACATTTTTGTTCGCTTTGGAGATTCCGTATATCGTCAGGTTATCGGAATTTCAATGGGGACTAACTGTGCACCACTTATTGCGGACCTTTTTTTGTATTGCTATGAGTTACAATTTATGACAAAAATCAGCAAAGACCCATCGAAACAACATCTGATACACAAATTTAATAATACTTTTAGATATTTGGATGATATTTTGGCTCTCAATAATGACGACTTCAGTATGTATACTAAAGAAATTTATCCTGTTGAACTTACTTTAAATAAAGCTAATACTAACAATGACCACTGCCCTTTCCTCGATCTTGATATCTATATCATTAACGGAAAGCTTAATACTAAAATATATGATAAAAGAGATGATTTTTCATTTCCTATCGTTAATTATCCATTTTTAGATGGTGACGTTCCCTTGTCACCATCTTACGGTGTTTATATATCTCAACTTGTACGATTCGCTCGTGTATGTAACAATGTTTTAGATTTTAACGAGAGAAATTTATGTATTACTGAAAAATTATTACACCAGGGTTTTCGATATCACAAACTAGTCAAAACATTTATTAATTTTATCATCGGTATAAGGACATCATTCGTAAATATAGCTCAACATGCAGACTTCTTATACGTTCAGGTATTTCACATCCAATTTTTTATGGAAATATTCTTTATAAAGCACAAAAATGTCAGTATTCACCTCTGAAGCTAACAAAAACCTTTAAATAGACTTATTAAGAAGGAGTATAGTTACGATACTGTTGTCAGGTCATTAAAGATTGCATATTTTGGCGTTAATATTGATTCACTTATAGGGTCTTTGCATCGGCACTAAACACATTTATTTAAAAACCAGATGTTGGCATGACACGGGTTATGTTCTTCTCATATATGTTATGATGGTATGATACTAAACCCCTAACGGGAAGGATTGTGCCTGATATTCATATGATGAAGACATAATCTTTCAATCAGTTTAATTGAAGTCTAGAGCTGGCATGTCAGTTAACTGCTAGTAGTCTGTTGTTATTTATGTATTATTGTCATTTTGTTTATTTTCTTTGGTTACATCTTCTGACATCAGACTCGAACTTCTCTTGAACTGAATTTTAATGTGCGTATTGTTATGCGTTCACTTTTCTATATTGGCTAGAGGTATAGGGGGAGGGTTGAGATCTCATAAACATGTTTAACCCCGCCGCATTGTTGCGCCTGTCCCAAGTCAGGAGCCTCTAGCCTTTGTCAGTCTTGTATTATTTTTAATTTTAGTTTCTTGTGCACAATTTGTAGTTTAGTATGGCGTTCATTATCACTGAAGTAGTATATATATTTGTTTAGGGGCCAGCTGAAGGACGCCTCCGGGTGCGGGAATTTCTCGCTGCATTGAAGACCTGTTGGTGACCTTCTGCTGTTGTCTGTTCTATGGTCGGGTTGTTGTCTCTTTGACACATTCCCCATTTCCATTTTCAATTTTATCATAATAAAATGTATGATGAGCATTGTACTTTCTCTTTAAACTATATGTCATTTTGTCATTATAAACCAGTAGTTTAGGTTTCGAATGACTATTAGTTTCCACGTACCCAAATTGCTACTATTTGCTGAATGCTTAGCGTCCAATGGCAGACATTTCATTAATATTCAGAGCAATGAAAAGTTAGCTTTTGTACAATCTAGGTGGTCAGTTCATACAAGTGTGCATTCATAAATTGGATTATATTTGTTGTTGACAATTGTGTATGAATAAGTGAGTTTTATTTCTCAGGAAATGGGGAGTGTATAGTTTATAAATTGTATTTCTATATATGATTCACTTATTTTAAGTTAGCTAAATACACTGCGCATTACTGTTCGTGAGGTGGGATTGAAAATATAGAGATGTATGTACTTCCAATTATGTATTCGTTAACACTATATATTAATTGCACAAATCTTTTTAAAATGATTTGAAAAAAATCTTTTCTAAATTCAATGAACAATACTTCAATTTGTAACTAGATCAAATTACCATGCTAATGGTTGACAATATAATGCTATATCTCAAAGAATTGACAGTGAATGCTCCAAATCAGTTTACGTGACTAAGAATATGATTTCATCGGAAATATGTCGGCCATAAAGCGGAATTACACGAATGAACTGTGTTTCAATATGAATCAACTAATACCGTGACATACATATATAACGAACAAATATGTCCGGTCAAAACAACTAATGTGGAAATAAAATCTGGCTATGTTTCCTGCTGGTACATATCTGTGAGCGTATGTGTACTAAATGATGACTGATTTATAATCATTGATAGATTTCTAAAGATGTTGTGCAGATACTGCTATAAACAATATTTATCCACCTTACAAACTACGTTTAAATCTAAATTGAAATTTGTATTTATTAATCTTGATACATTAATGGCTCCCGAAAAGTTTTATATATAAAAGAAGGAGATTTGGTATAATTTCCAATGAGACAACTCTCCACCCAACACCAAATGACATAGAAGTTAAAAACCAATACCGCATAATCAGCTATAGAAGCCTCGAAATGACGAATGTTTTCGAGGCAAATAGAAAAGCCATAATATTATAAAATTTCATAATTGTAGGAAAATATTGTAACAAAGGTGGGTTGTCTTACTTAGACGCTTCTTGTCAAGTTATTATTGTTATGAGAGTTAAGTGTTTTTATTGTTTCTGTCAGTTTTTTTGGTCGACAAAAATATATCGAAATTGATTTAATTTTTTTCACTTGCGAAAACACTACTATTCGAGTTTTGAAACAATATCTTGAGTTATTCAATTTATATTTGTATTTTAAGTTCAACATTGATTTTCATGAATCGATGATATTTGCATATCTTTACATAGAAATGGGGCTTTCCCGTCGCTCAGACATCTTTAGATTACCATGATTATAACGAACATGTATAATAATTTGTCAAGAAGTATTTATACCAAGGCAATTCAATGTTTCTCTTTAGTTTGAAGCTAGTCTTAAAACAAATCCTCAACCTGAATACTAGCCATTGCACATTGAGAAATAAATAAGCATCAATCTTTGAATAATTGTGTTTTTACATGTTTTAGTAACTTTAGGAAGAACATATATGAGATGAATGCCTGAGCTGAACTTTGAAATTGTAAACAAAAACAAAAATTCGTTATTTCTACAAGCGATGTTCTATGTTTTGTAGATATCTAATTCCATTTTTGAAAAAATCAAGAAATTCATATTAGGCAGGAGATTGCATTGCATAAAGAAGTTCAGTGTGAGAAATCAGCAAGAAATGATGTGTATGCCTACATGAATATAGTTGGCTGATTGCAGGATAAATGTATTTATGAAAAAATATTTTTATGAGTTAAAGTAAACATTCTGTTTAAGAGATTTAATATATCCGTGTACATTCTGTTTCTTTCATTCAGACGTGTGTAATCAAATGTTTTTTCTTCCGGTCGTTTTACATTCTAAAGCGATAAATTTAAATTAAAAGGTCTCAAAAGCAAACAATGATTATACCCGTCTAATGGCGTATGGTCCGTTTCCCACAGATATAACTAATTATAATTAGACAATGTTAGAGCTATATTCACCACATTATGAAACGAACCCTACATGGGTTTACAAAAAAGTATAGATATTTTGTTTGAAAATGTCATAATAGAAGAAAAGTTATGATACTGACGACAATTAACCCCCCTCCTTTTTATAATATACACAGCATCTGGAACCAGTTTTATATATTAGGAAAACATTAATAACATGTTGGTACGATTTTGTTGTAAAACATTCGTGACTTATTCAAATAATAATGATTGATTGGTTGTTGTTTGTTTAACGTCCAGTTGCAAATATTTTATGCATGTGTAGGACGAGATTATTTTTGCAATTAAAACAGTTGGTATGGTCTGTATTAATGGCCGTACGGGATGAACGTTGGGGGAAATTAGGACTCCTACTGGAAAATGAGGGCGAATTGAATAGTGACAGAAGTGCAAGAGAACGCCTACGGACACCTCAAAGAGTTGCTGCAAGTCTTCTTAACGTGCAGTGAGTAAGGCATTACTTCTACACGAGACATCGGATTAAACGTTCTAAGTTTTTATGGCCGAAGATTTGGAACATTGGAAGCAAGGTGCCAGTTTTAGTTCAATTACAATACACTTAAATGTAGGAATAGTAAATTTACGATTGTTTTAGGAATTTAAAATTTCAGTTATTTATAATTGGGACCAAATAACATAGATACATGTCTTCTGTTCATCCCATGAAACTTAATTGTTTTGTACGATAATGTAATGTTGTTGTTTTTTTTAAAAATGCCAACAGGTTAAACCACTACAATTTGACATACGACTACGTGTTACAACACGTAATTTTACGATCGAATCTACGAAAATATCTTTATTACGATTTTTTTTAATAAAACGGTCAAAATCTTACGATTAAACAAATGACCGACGTTAGATCATAGATTATCGTGCGAATTTTTGTGAAACGTTGCCCTGTTATTGACCAATATACTCTAAACATTTATTTCTTTACTTTCAGTTTCATTCTCATGTCAAAACAGATGGTTAAAGTGCGAAAATAAATGGTACTACTTTAGCGACGTTGAAAAAACGTGGGACGAAGCTAGGGTTAGTATTACGCTTTTAATGGACATGATCTTTTGCAACTGAAATTGTTACATCCTATATTATTATTTTATTTTGAAAGAGGTGAACAATGATGTTTGCTTTCATCTAATAAGCATCATATTTTGATTTTAATGTGACTGCAACTCAAATCCTAAATACTGTTGGTCTTGCAGCCATTATCAATTAAACATGTTAAACGAAGCACATTTAGTTAATGACAGATTTACTTACAATTATAAAAAAAAAAACATTAAAAATACGAGACTTATATACGTCAGACGTGCGTACAACCGATTATTAAATTTCTAGTTAATATTGTAGTAAGTAAACGTGAAACCCATTAATCGTATACGTTAAATGTTTAATATGTATGCATGGTAGTTAATGAGTTTCACGATATAGCTTACCAGCCATTCCCAGTAATGAAATAATGAAAAAAATAAGCAAAATAAAAAAAAAAAGTAAAAAAATTGCTGACCTCAACATTTTCTCTACAACTTTGGTATCTATGCTTTGTCGATTAAGATTTAAATCACCAAAAGAACATTTGAATCATAGTTATCACGGGAGGCGAAAGATACAAAGGGACATTCAAACTTATAATTCGGAACAAAACTGACAAAGCCATGGCTAAAAAAGAAAAAGACAAACAGACAAACAATAGTATACAAAACACAACATAGAAAACTAAAGATTTAGCAACACGAACCCCACCAAAAACTGGGGGTGATCTCAGGTGCTGTGGAAGGGTAAGCAGATCCTGTTCCACATGTGACACCCGTCGTGTTGCTCATGTTAGTACAAACCGAGTAATATGTATAATTCGGTAGGTCACATTCGGGAAAAGGAGACGGGATTGTAGTTACGACATTAGGAACATATCCGTTATCTTCTGTCAAACGGATATTCCGTAACGGTTAACCAACTTGTGATGGCGTCCGTAAAATTTACGAAGGTATGATTTCAACTTCACCACTTGGAACTCTTCATTTAGTAGCTTCCTTGTGAGCAGCAATATCAATTTGTACCAAATGATTTGATCCAATGATTTGATTTCATTCTCAACCCTCGAATACCTTGGAAAGGTTCAAATACTTAAAGACAAAAGTCCTGCATAACACCAAATCATTATCAATAAAAGACAAAATCATAACTTCAAACAGATTATATTTGTTCTCGAATTGAAATGCCTATAAACACGATGTAATCAATACATTTGCGACTAGCAATTAACAAGATTAATGTTTTAGATAACTTTATTAAAAACTGATCAAATGAACGAAGGTTGTATATGCAGATATGTACTGATTATATCGTAGTTTTGAGAGTAAGCTTGAAGATAATAACAAAGTGCATTCACCTTTTCACTTTCGCATACGGTCCGTTTTTGCAATTCTCATTAACTGTAATATCATTAAATAGTGTAGGAAAATATAGAATTTATCTGACGAGCTTAAGAAACTAAGAGAAAAGCGATTTTTATTCATACTTTACGCATGCAATGCATTTAACTATATTGTTTTATGTTTCATAGATTTGCATGTTCATGGAAAACATGTAAATTCTAATTTTTACATGAAATAAGGCGATACGAATGACCAGTAAAAAATCGTAATACCATTTGATGTCTTTTATTATAGCTAATGTGCAAAGGTTATGAAAGTATGCTAGCAGAAGTCGGTTCTAGTGATGAAAACGACTTTTTGAAGAATATAGCAACTGTTTGTGACAAATGTATGTATATTAAATGCAATGGAAATACCACACATGAACATTTCTGAAATAATTATTTCAAAAAGATTTAAATCTTTAAATATTGTTACATCTTGCAAGGTCATGTTTATACAAAATCACAAAAGAAAGCAACTGTCAACTATTTTTATGTACAGTAAGTTTCATTCGCGATCTGTTAAGTTTGCATAAATCTTATTAAGTTTTCAACCCAACTTACATATTTACTTTTTTTATTTTTCAAAAGCTTAAAACATTTTGGTATAACAAACATTGATTGACACGAATAAATCGTGCACATGGTGCATACCATAAAGTTTGTTCCCTACAAATGGTGTAAAAATATTAAGAATACCATTCAAAGCGTGTCCGTGATTGTTCTTTACCATGTTTACCATATTTAAGTTGCATTAGGCTAGTCCTCTCCCTTGTAACATACGGGTATCTCTTAAAGCCAAACAGATGAAGGACAGGGAAACAGTTTAAAGTTTCATCTGTAATAATCTACATAATTTTAATAATGTGAAGATTGTTAATTGTTTTATATCACTAGTAGCAAGATTTCAGTCTGAAACGGTCATTTTGGTCTGATCAAGTCTGAATCAACTGAATTTACCGCTAGGGAAAAACGTTAAGACTTTTTAAGACTTTCAGACGCTGTTCAGATATGTCGTGTTCAGTCCGTTCATTCATGTCAAGATAAACAAGACAGAAGGCTCTAGCTGTTAAACAAGATATGTTAAGACGGTTTTAGACGAATTCAGACCAAACATAAAAAGTAATGTTCAAAATTTTCAGATCGGGTTAAGATCCGTTTAGTGTGTCAGAATGATATTAGGAGTTACGCCCCTTCATGTGGATGATACATTTTAATTATAAAAAAATTACAATATAAATGCTAGAATGAAAAACGTATATTTTTAATAATTAAACATAAAATCATTGGTTGACTTTTTATTTCTGTTGGTCTTTTTTTAAGAGATTAGTGATTTTGTTTTGTTGAGGAAATAACTTATTCGCCTATAACTGTTTATGATTTTATTTTATTTTTTATTTTCTGATGTTAATTTATGTATTTATCTACTTATTCTTTGAAAAGAAGTAATTGCAAATTTTAAACATAACATTATCAAAAGAGTGAAAACACCTTATAAATTTCATGCGTCTGAAGCACTTTTCTGGATTTAACTTCATCGGGAACGATCAACGTAAATACAAATATGTTTTATGTCAGATAATTTATATCGTTAATTTCGTTATCTTTCGATACTTTCCTCTAAAACTTAATAATTACTTTGTGGCATTTAGTAAATGCGTTAATCCTTTCTTTAATTTTAATAATAATTTTATTTAATATAAAATAATTATGTATTTATTTGTTTATTCAAGTTGCACTATAGCAAATAATTCTTCTTCGTCTTTTTCTTCCTATAATAGTAATAAATGTATTCGTTATTTAATATTTTCTGTCAATAAAGATTGAATTCGATGGCACGTGCCACTAATCAAAAATGATCCTTAAACTATCAAAAACTTGGCAATTACAATGGCTATTTCACAATTACATCATATGTACACCTGTCATGGTATCATAGCTCCGTTCATGTATGTGTAATTTAAGGTTCTGACACATTTTATAATAGCTTCTTTCTGAACACTTTTGACGACATTGTTAAAACTGCACAAACATATCACAAAACCGCAAATTTAGTGGTTAAAAAATAAACGATAATGACAAAAAAATAATTAAAAACTAAAAACAAAACAAAATTCTGTTGGAAGTAGCATATATTTACATGTATAAATTGTCTAGTGCTTTTATTACAGCGGTATACTTGTTTTATACACAGACCATATTCTGATCATATTCTATGCTAAGATATTGACAAGACAGAAGTAAATATGTTAAAAGTCGTTTTAAATCAATTCATTTCACAGCTGAGGCAAATGTTCCTTCCCATTGTTGAATGAAGGTTAAATAAATGTGAACAATAAAAAAGATGTATATTTCTTAGGCATGGAGCTAGGCATTTCTGAAGTATCTTTGATAGCATTTTTTTCCTATCAAAAATGTATGCTGGTATATATGTAACTTTATAGGTGTTTACCTAAAATGTTATGTATATGTAAAAGTTTAAGATTTTTTTTTTAATATTTGCCAAAAAAAAAAAAAATTATCCGGAAAACCATATAATGGCGTTTTGTCCTTTAATTCTTTTTTTGTGATTTTCTAACCTACCTTCTAATTGATACGTTAATCCAAACAGTGCAAGTGTGTAATGCAAACATACAAAATTCGGCTTTGGTGTATCATGTTAAAACAATACCCATAAATTATGATAATTTTCAATAATTTTAGATAAGATTATGCAAGGAAATGTGTTATTGTTTTCTATTTATCTAGCAAAATTGTATCTTTTTTTACACAAAGATGTCGATAAATAAATTTGATACCCTGCATTTATCATGCATTTCAATAGCATATTGTCAAATTGTTAAAAGATCTCCTCCTTAACAGGGAATCCGTTAGTATTGAAAGTCCCTGTCCTAAATTATTGAATTTGTCATTCTGCATTGACAATATTCAATATATCTTGGTGTAAGTAATACGCACTCATTCGGGCTAACGCCCTTAATGTGTATCTAATACATATTATTGTCTCCCTCGTTTCACCCCTCCGATAATAAAGCTTTTTCTTAACTAGATATCGTAGAAAAACCAAACATAGTATAGGGTTGTGCGTTCGCTACAAGATCGCCTTGAATTTAACATGTTCAACATAAATATATACAATCAGCCATGCAAAAAGGCATAACATTTGTGTCAACTAATTCTGCCTCTTTAAAGGTCAAATGAAAGTTAGTCATTTCACTCTACTATGGAATGAAATGAACGAGAGAACTTTTGACGTGGTATAGTTATAATATAACTGTTCTTTATACTTATACTTAGTTTGTACTGCAAGCCGAAAAGTCCACTTTGCTCTCTGGATGTCGCTTGGTTTTTGTTTTTGTTTTTGGTTTGTTTGCTATATTATTGACGTAAATAAAACCGACAACTCCTTTTATTCAGATATATAATTTGAGTTCTGTAAATTTCTAGACGTACGTAAGAATGAAAGACGAAAATGCAGGTTTCATAAATGGTCATCAAAAAGCGACACAATTAAAAACAAATAAAAATATAGTTATTACAGCTACAGTCATTTTTTTTTTCTCTATCAAAACATATTTGATACTTTTTGCGCTATTGTCATATATCAAAAAAAATCTAACATTTCCATAAGCTTTCTGTGATTTCCCCGATTCACCATTATGATGTCATGCCACTTGCTATATGGATTCAGAAAACAAATTTACGAAATCTATGACCACACAATTGTAACTGTTCCTATCTTTATTAACAAAATTTAGCGTAAATATTTACAACTATAAAAATTAGTAACAGTAGTGGTCTATTCTGCCCGGAAAACAATGCGGACTAAATCTGTGTACAGTGCACGTGGCGGATCCAGTCTTTTTAAATGGGGGTTCCCAACCAAGGATAAAGGGAGGGGATCCAACCGTATGTCCTTATTAACAAAAGGGGGTCCAAAATCCGCCCCCCCCCCCCCCCCCCCCCCCCCCCCCCCCCATCCGCCACTGTGTGTACCACTGACATTAAATTTTACAAATATGCAAATCGATACTTGTTCTGTTAGGACAGTTTTCAATTTTATATAATAGAAGTAGGTGAATTATACAGCAGACATATTGGTTTTCTTGGTTTAGATAGAGGAATTGTCTACCCCCGATCAAGAATCTCATTAAATTGTACATTGTACTTTGACACATGCATTCCCCATTTCCATTCTCAATTTTGAATAGTATAAAAAGTTGTTTTATTTAAAAGAGACTTTGAATAATAACTTTAAAACACAGTTATGTTATAATTGAACGAGTTCATAAAAACTAGAAATAAAGGACTATATATATACTGGAGTAAAATCAAAAGTTTGTTCCGACACTAGACTTGTAGGCAACGGCTCAGATGTACTTATTTATACTGGATAACCTATATGTGTGGTCATAAAAATTACAGACTAATTTCCTCTATGTAAACGGACAGAAAGTCACAGGACAAAAAGTCACAGGACATAAAGTCACAAATTTGATAGGACAAAAAGTCACAGGACAAAAAGTCACAAATAATTTGTTGACAATTGTTTGAATATATAAGAGAAAGATCTTGAAATATTTTCTTTTTATCACATATATTCATTTTTAAGTTAAGGAAATTGTTCATAAGCCTTGATAAATGAAAGTTTATTAAATTTTAATCATGCAAAGGATATATTTCTTGGCACAATGAAGCCATTTAAGTACCAAGCCACTTTGACATTTTGTTTTCATAACAACTATTTGATCATTATTGATATTTATTGAATACATTTTAATTACAAAGTTGCTTCATATATAAAAGTTCAAGAAAAAACAAAAACTTTATTTTTTAAATTAGTGTTTTCTTGTTTAAAGAAAAATAATCTCAAAACTGAATTGTGACTTTTTGTCCTGTGACATTTTGTCCGTGACTTTTTGTCTGTGACTTTTTGTCCTGTGACTTTCTGTCCTACATTCTATGTAAACACAAGGAGATGTGGTATAATAAGAATTGCTTATGAAACAACTATCCGTAAAGTTCAAATGAGGTGGACGAAAGCAACCAGAGACAACCGTACGGCCTTCTAAAAACCATTCCGTTAAGTTGGCTAAAAACGGTCCCAACATGAAAAATATGAAATAATCAAACTCTGAGAAAACTAACGGATTTTACTCAGATCCATCCATCTTGACACCTCAAACATGCGAACACTATATAATTTTAAACCTAACTGACTCGCAATTTTATAATAAACAATAATTATGAACTTTTTAAAATAAGTTATCCATGGGGAATACTTAAAAAATCATCTTATTCACGATGTAAAAATGAATATTTAAAACTTTTCCGTTATATGTTACCT